CTGGCGGGGGGGCTTCTCGCTTGGACAGAAAGAAGACGAAATTCGATTCGTTTACACGTTTTATTGTTGTAAACATTAAAATTGTCTTTCTCAAAGAAAGAGTTATCAGGAGAGGAAAAAAACAAAAAACAAACAAAAAAAAAATATCAGCGTTTCTAACTGTCATACACCATAGGGGGAAAAAAAAAAAAAATAGCAGTGACTTGTATCCTGTGCCGTACTGGAAATATACAAAGAAAAAAAATACTACAGAATATGGCAATATTAAAAATATTACTCGAAGATAAAATAATATATTAACCAACACTTTCAGACATAAAAAAACGGAACAAAACAAACCAAAAATTCAAAGTGCTCAGTAATTTCCAGGGAGTTATGTATAGTATAAGCACTCTGGAAACAGTCAAAAGCTGCTGCATGCAAGATTTGTTTAGCTTTAGACAACAAAATAATCAAGATATAAACTTCTTTTTTAATCAACATCAACAGTACATACAACACTTACAAACAAGGAATGTCGGACGGTGTTTACAAACACTATGTGTCCCTTTGGGGAGGGTTTCGGGTTTTGCAATACTTGTGCCCACCTATTTTACAATTGAGAAAATGTTTGAAGCTTAGATAACTACCAGTCTTTATAAAAGCTAACAGACTACATAGTGTCTGAAATACTATTTATAGAATATAGACATTACTGAAATAGCAAGTGCCTATAACATTGTCACCCTAGAATCGTCATGCTTTCCTGGTACGGAGAGATTTATTTTTCTTTCTCTTTATTCTCCATTTTGGGTTGGTTGGTTGGTTGTTTTGTTTTGTTGGGGTCTTTTTTTTTTTTTTTTGCAAACACGTTTAGCTTTTATTTTTAATTTTTTTTTTTTTAGAATCGTTTTTCATATTTTTTCATGAATAGGCACAGAATAATTTTTAAAAAGCCAAACCGCATCTGATAAATTTACAAGCCTTCGCCTTCTTTAATGACATGCCACCCACGCAACATTTAGGTTTCGTATATATTACAGCTTTCTTTTACAGCAGAATTGCAAACACGTTTAGCTTTTATTTTTAATTTTTTTTTTTTTAGAATCGTTTTCCATATTTCTTCATGAATAGGCACAGAATAATTTTTAAAAAGCCAAACCGCATCTGATAAATTTACAAGCCTTCGCCTTCTTTAATGACATGCCACCCACGCAACATTTAGGTTTCGTATATATTACAGCTTTCTTTTACAGCAGAAAACTTTAGTCTTTAGGAGGGTGAGACGTGTGGGTCACCTCAACGCGTTCGTTTGTCACCGCATGAGTCTTAGCTGCGCACCCGGCGTTGCCAGATATGGTCGTCTTTTTAATCAGAAGTCCTTAATAATAAATTCATTTATAAGCTGATAATAAAAAGTTTATACCATGGTATTTGTGTGGTCCATGATCTGCATCCGTGATGCCCCAGAGCCCCAGCGCCCGCTGACGTTCCGCCCGCAGGAGGTTACAACACTGGTTTGGACGGGAAGCTGGCACCCAGGGGTGCTGCCTGGGGCCCAGACGAATTCCCCCTCGGACACGTGAAGCTCCTCTTCAGCCCAGCGGAAGTGCACGGGAAGAGTCTTAAAAAGGTAAAGTGTCCAGAAAAAGTTTGTCGATTATTGCTGGCGGCGGCACCAAGTCTTCCAGTTTCAGGTAGAAAATGCGCTGCAGGCCCTGCGTGCAAAGCGTGCGGAGTTCGGGGAGCTTCCCCAAGAGTTTGGACAAATAGTTGGGGCGATTCAGCCCCCCGTTATTAAAAGTCACATGGTCTTTGAGACAATTTACAATCTTGTTTTGAAGTTCTTCCACCCTCTTGGGTTCCTTAAGCCCGTGCCTCTCTGCAAAAGGGAAGGAAGCGGGACGTTACCGGGCTGGCACGGAGAGGAAAAGGGGAGAGGAGCTGCCCGGCGGGGCCGGGCGGGAAGGGGGCACCGACCTGTCACCATGGCCAGGGCAGCGATGCAAGAGAAGGCAGAGATATCGATGTTCATGTTTTGCAAGTTGGAGGAAAATTCAACAATGGAATCGATCCACTCCCCAAAGCCGCGGACGCACTGCAACCGGTGCAGGACCACCCCGTTGCAGAAGATAAGCTTGCCCTCCACTGGATTTGACCTGGAAGGAACGTGACAACCCCGAAAGGAACAGATGAATGAGGGAGTAAGAAAGAAAAAGTTGGAGAGAAAAAGAAAGAAAAGGAAGGGGGGGGGACACACAAAGACAAAAGACAAAAAAGAGGAAGAGCAAGGGGAAAAAGAGAGCAAGGGGAAAGGAAAGGGAAAAAAAAAGAGAGCAAGAGGAAGAGCAAGGGTAAAAAAAGAGAGCAAGAGCAAAGGAAAGGGAAAAAAAAAGAGAGCAAGGGCAAAGGAAAGGGGAAAAAAGAGAGCAAGAGCAAAGGAAGGAGAAAAAGAGGAGAGCAAGGAGAAAGAGAAAGAAAGAGAGAAAGAAAGAAAAATAAAATAGCAAAGAGAGTGAAAGAGAAAAAAGGGAGAAAGGGGAAGAAATTAAGGGAAGAAATTAAAAAAAAAAAGGAGAAAAGAGAAGATGGGGGGGAGAAAAGCTAAACAACTAATTACTTGAGGAGCAATAAATGAAGGATTTAAGAGGCACCTAATTACCGAGGAGTTAATAAAACGCAGAGCAGTGGACCTTGAAAGGACCTGATTCCATAACCGCCCAGACGCTCCCCGCGCGGCGCCCGGCCGCTCACCTGTACGCATCTCCCCCAGCCGCAGCACGAAGAGCTCCAGGAAGGCGGATTCGAAGAGCAGGTCCTGGTCCGTCTTGGGGAGATCGGTGAAGCCGGGGATTTTTTCCGCCCACCCTCGGATGATCTCCATGGAGCCGGTGAGGAGATCGTAGAACTGCTGGATGTGCTGGGTGTCATCCCCGCTCATCTGGTAGTCGGGGTTCGCCTGGAACTGGAGATTCATTTGGAGCGGCGCTTAATGAGGTTCTCTAGAGTATATAGCCCGTGAAATTGCAAGCCCCGCTTCTGCTCGGGGA